TTCCCTCCTTCACCCGGTTTCGGACGAACTGGCGAGCGGAGGATGTCGAACGCAACACGGACTTCATGTATATGGATGGAAACAGAGCCGTGCATTCAGTCCACAGCCACTTCAGCTGGTCGTTCCTGGCCACCTCCACATCCGGGCAGCGTCCCGTGTAGTTCTCCAGACTGCGACGATAGTCGTGGTTATAGCAGTCAGGAAAGAGGTAGAAGCCCCAAAGCTGGTTTGGACGCAAGCTTTTGGCCAGCCGTAACGTCTCCAGCATGAATTTACGGCTGGACATCTCAAACTCCTGCTGGGCTACTTTGTTTATCTGGGTTTGAGTCCGGCCTGGGTTTTTCTGGGCCACTAAGAGCTGTGACTGGCTCTTGTAAATTATTTTGGCGTCCCAATTCCGTATCCAAATCGGACGCCATTCCTCCCAGTCGATCACGGCCAGGCCTCGCGCAGACGGGTCGCGAATGTACTTCGCGATCCCCTCCGGCATCTTCTCTTGGTGGTGCGTGAGGCTGGCGATCTGCGGTAGTCCACCGTTGACAGCCACTCCATCCTGAAAGTGTGGATACAGGCCCAGTCGGTCTTTGTAGAACATGGTGAGGTTCTGCTTGGTGAAGCCTTCATTCGGAGAGGCCACGATCTGAAACTGATCGAGCTGGAGGTGGACGTTGTGCCGAGGCCTGCAGTCTTCTGTTGGGGCATTCCAGACCAGAACCACAGGCTTCTGAGGGTAAAGAGGCCATCTGGTGGGCTTCAGATCTTCAGAAAGAGCAAGATGATCCAGAGCCAGTGGAACCAATAACCAGAATCTCCAATGAAGCTGGATCCAGTAAGCCATGACTTCAGTCATTCACAATATGGGCCTTCACTTCTGCTGAAATAAAACAAAAAAACATATTGTGTATTACAATCCATTAGGAGCATATTTTTGATATCTGATATCTTTCTGGTATCAGTGTTCATTCAGAAAGGAAACAAGAATGCACAAATCTTTCACTGAGGAAACATAATTACTGAAGCAAATGTAATACGACAGTCAGTTTTAAATCAACAACACATGACTTGGAGGAAATAACTCACCTTTGACATTAAAAATAATAATTCAAATCAATGATATTATTACTTGGAGGTAAGTTCTTATTTGAAACAAAGTTGGTTAATATTCTAAAATTATGTAATAATAATAACAAATTCAAGTGTTATTGTGGCACCAATGTGCCATGGAACGTTTTGGGAGTGTAAAAGTGTTTAAAACACTTAAAAACCAACATCATCCTGTTCACATTATCCACAGAGCAACAATCATGAAGAAAAAAAAAAAAACTTTCATGAAATATCTCACCTTTGACATTAAAAATAACAATCATTCCCAGATTAATGAATCAAAGATATTACGACTTGGAAGTGAGTTTTTATTTGAAATTAAGTTGGTTAATATTATAAAATTATATAACAAATATATAGTTATTCCCCACTTATTGAATTTATCATTATATCAAATATTATAAAATTAAATAAATATTTAATATATGGAAAAATAATTAATTGTAATAATAAATTATATTATTTTATTATGCACATAAACATTTGCAGGAAGCTCTAATCTGTTTTTAAAGAAATGTTAAATGCTATTCTTATGTAACATTGTTTACATAAAAGCAAAACTTGTACACAATCATGTGTCTTTCTATCAATTGTATGATGATATTCCAGCTGAAGGCAGAATGAGCTGATCAGACACGGATCTCACTGACCCATGGGACAGTAAAAGCAAAAATGACCAAACTTCCTTGATATCAATTATATCTCATACAGTAATAGGATTAAATGAAATTTAGCTTAAATCTCCTGCTCATCAGATGAGATATAAGATATTATATGAGATATAATTCCTCTCAACATTATCTTATAGCTTAATAATATTCTTACTCTTTGTTGACATTTGACATTTATGTCTGTTTCTCCTATTGAACTGTTTGATGATGTTTAAATAAAACATTACTGAGAACCCCATTCAATTTCCAGCGCTATTAAAGATCAACATCTGAGCAATAAATTGTAAAACTACAATACTTTAAATACCATGGTCCTGAAATTCACGGTATTTATATGCAACTTCAAAGTATCGTGGTAGTACCATAGGCTACCAGCGTAGTCCCATAAACTTTTTGTGAGTGTTTAATACAATTAAAAACCAACATCAGCCTGTTCAAATCATTCATATAGCAACAAAACAACTTTTTCATGGAAACAACTCACCTTTGACATTAAAAATTAATTCCCAGATAAATAACTCGATCCTGTGGTTGCGATGTAAAGCATTGCTGTAACCACGTCGCCTGTTGTCTCCTACAGAGAGAGTGTTGCTCCGTTCATAAAGACTTGAGATCAGGCGGACTGATGTCGCGTGAGGTCTGATCTGTCAATCTTCTCACATTCTTCATCCGAGACGCTTTTATCTTTGCGGCACAGCAACAACTTCAAAGCGCCGCTTTCATAAGTTTCATTGATTCGGTGCAGGGGGCGTGGTTTCCTTTATGCAAATGATAGGCCTATAACGTGATCATTGCGGGTCCAAAAAATATTATACATGCACATTTTCATTCAGATCTAAATATGAAACTTTAAAACTTTAATCATGTACATAATAACAAAACTACAAATAAGATAAACAACTGCAAAATCAATCATTTATAAGGAACGTTTTCATTGAATCAACATTAACGTATATTCGTTGAAATCTAAATATTAAATATTATACAAATATTTAGCTATTAAGTAATAAAACAGTAAAAAGAAAGAAAAACTAAAAAAATCACGTTTATAAAATAAACGTTAACATTATACATGCACTTTTTTCCTTCAAACCTAAATATTAAACACTATACAATTACGTAAAAAAATTAAATAAAACAGTAAAAGAAATAAAGTTATTTATTTATTTTTAAAGTGAGGGGGTAATAAAAACAAAAAAGGTCCAAAAGTCCAAAAGAACAAGCTCACTGCTAACACCAAATAGATAAATATATAAATAAATAAGGTAATGCTTTGGACATACATAATTATTCTAAAAATAAAAAGTGATATTTTTTAGTAATTTTTTTAATAAACTTTGTTTTAAAATAAATAATAATATAAACTCTTTACCCTTTAAGCTAGTTTTGTTTCATTAAGTTTATTTTGAATGAATTAATTTTATATTTCAATTTCTCTTCCATCACATAACTGTAATATGAATGTAAGGTTAAATTCATTTGAATATTTAGCCATATTAGGTTTTGTCTATAAAACTGGGTGAGCAATAATAGTATGGATTCATTGAAACTTTTCTGACGTTTGAGGATGCACATGATGAATATGAAATCAGAGTAGCACTGGGTGGCTTTCAAGTGGTTCCTTTCTGACAATAACCTGCAGAGATCCTGTTCCGCCCGCCGTTCCTGCATATTCTGCTGACTCGTGTGTCGCCTCTGTCAGTGCATGTGTGTGTTCATGAAAGAGAGAGGGCCACTTCCTTCCTCGGGCCTTTTCCTTTTCTCCCCGTTCTTGGGGTTTTACATCACTGTTTCTTCCAACTAGGCAGCGCCAGGAAGCTTTAACAATATGAGAGGAACTGGACAGTGGACACACACACACACCCATCACTCCCGCCTCCCAAAAATGGCAAACTCACATCCTCGAGCGCTAGGAGAGATCAGAGACAGCGGTTCCCCTGTATTATCACTCCATCTCTACTCCTATAAGACACTCCCACAGCACACCCTCAGGTCAAAGGTCAACCGGCAGCTTTATCAGATAGAATATTTTTGAAAAATGCCTTTCCTTAAGATCATTCATCATTCAGATCAACAAGCGAACAGGAAGAGCTTTATCATATACCAATATATATATATGTATATATATATATATATATATGCATGCACACACACATTTTTTTAAATGATTAACCTACTTCCCAACTAGAATTAGACATAGAATTTCCTTTACCATTGTATATAAATAGTTGAGAAGTAGGCTAATATTTTAAAGCAGCACTATGTAACTTTTGTCGCTCTAATAAACAGAACTGCACACATCCCGCGGAAGAACATTCCAACCGGGTCTACTTCTCTAAGTTTATGTCTATGGCGATTCACGCAGGTATGTGTTACTCCGCAGCGGTGACGACCCGACCAGGCTACAATAGTCCAAATATAAGTACTTATTATAAGTGTACCGTAGTGATTCGGAATAAGACAAAAACGCGGTTTGGAAGATGAATTCATGATGTACTCGCTCATTTTATACATTTTGCCAATATTGAACACAGAAAAAGTTACATAGTGCTGCTTTAAAATATCCACACATGCACTTTTTGGTTTGCAATGCCTAATATGTAGGAAACGCATACGTTTCTTGTTTCATCACATTACATGAATCACATAAATGAAACCATATTTTCAATTCAAAACGGCCGTTTGAGAAAACAAGTTGAGTAGTTTGCATCTTTGGATATTACTATCAGTTAATGTTTCGCAACTTTCCTTTTTAACTCTCTCTTTCTGGAATCAATCTGTTCACGGTTAGCCCTGCCTACTTTAATTTGACTGACAATTTAGCTATTTGTAATTATTGGGGGTGGGACTTGTCTCCTTAATTGTCTATGGTCACTACTTATGGCCCTGTCATATACATTTGAAGCATTATAGGGTGAGTTTACGATTACAGAATTATAATTTTGGGTTATCTGCTCCTTTAACAGTACTTTCACACATGCAGAAGCCCCTGAGGGCCGCTGTAACCTTCACATGTCTCATCACGCATTCTCTCTTAAACCCTCCAAGCTTATTCTCTCTTATCAGTGTCAATGATTGTGCGCAGACATGGCATCCTGTTGGAGCTTCCTGTATTTCATTCACATGGGTGGGACAAAAATTCCCAGAGAAGTCATTTTCATCGAGACAGGCATCTGTTTCTAATGAAACCTAACTTTGAGGGCCTGGCTGGCTCTGATAAAGCGTCTATCTCATGTCGATGGAGATCAAGCCACTGTACGGGAGTGAAAGCCTCCGAGCGATGAACTTCAAAGAAGCGAGGAAACATTGAAAACAGCTTAACCTCTGACATTTCACCATCTACCACACCCAGATCCCCGGTGCCAGGCGAACTACAGAACCCACAGCCAAAATAAACTAAATACGAGAGAGGGACAGCATTTTCAATTCACAACCCAAAATAAATTATTTAAAAAAAATTGACTATAATTTATTAGAAAAATATTTTTAAATCTTTTTCTGTTGTATTACAACTACATTGTGTTGCACCAATAATGAGGTTCTGACAAGATAACTACTTTAATTATCAGGGACAAAAACTGATAAATAGCATAGATGAAAATTCCATACTATTGAATGAATTAATAATGACTATAAATTATTATTATTAATCTCCACAATGTTTATAATAAATCCTCATTATTTATTTTAAACAAATAAAAAACAAAATGCTAAAAACTTGTGAATTTTCAACGTCGTAACAAAAACCACATTTTCATTATTGAAAATAAAATAATAAAATAAAACAGATGTTAAAAAACGTATTTTATTTCAGCTTAACATTTCTCATTTTGTTTAGTGTAAGTTGTTTACTATACAGACATTAAACAAAGTCATAAAAATGACAAAAACACAACAAACGCACTAAAACTTTAACTAAAATTAAAATGAAAACAGAAAATATAAAAAATAAAATCTAAGTAAATATATGATCAATAAATGTTTAGATAAGAGACCGATAAATAAATAATACAATAAAAAAAAAGGCTTGTAGACAACATTTTTTTTGGGCTACAAGCTTATTTTTAGCAGATACACATTTGATTTTATGTGGTGTCTTTCTATTACTGAAACGCTGACCAAAAATATTTCATAATAAATGATACATTTCATGTGCTACTGACTAGCAAAATCAAGTTTCATATCAAATCTAATGTCTTAATCATCATAAATTACAATCATTCATTTCCTGAGTTGATCCTGTCAATTTGCACTAAATATTTCCATGTATCTCTCACCTGAGGTATAAGATTTTTCTGAATCCTCTTCAGTTTAGCTTTCTTTCTGCCGTTCCTGGTCACCACAGTCTCCTCGTAAAATTCATGAGCCAGATCTCCATCTTCATCGAAATACAAGGAACTGCAACAACAAACAGCAGCTGGATGAATATCACAGAAACACATACAGGTCTCATTTCAAGAAATTATTAAGAATTTAAAATGTACACAAAATGTGAAGTCTGTATTAATTTTTTTAATGGAATATTTATTTATGCATGCATGAATGATTCGGGCATTATTACATTTGAGCACACTTTCTCACAAACTAAGAATGACTGAAATGCACTGTTGTTTTTGTAAATACCATTTCTCGAGTTAAGATTTATTAAGTTATATTATTATGAATTAAGCAAAGAATGTGTCATTCTATAAACAAAATATATCTTCTTATTTATTTTTCTTGGTTTTGAGGTGAAAAATGACGTGTTCTTGACATGAGAATGACTTCACATGGCCCAGACCACCGAGAACTGACCACACTAAACTAAACAGCTCTCAGATCTTAAAGGTTTTTCGACTTGAACATTTACCTTCTCCTTGTAAAGACAAATGGTGTTGCGTTCTTGGAGCCTCGTAGACATGCTAAACACTGTTTGTTGACCTCACTGGGAGCTTCTCCTCCAGCTCCTGAGCTGCTAAAAGGCCAGACTCCTTTGGTTTTGGATCCGCTGCCTCCCATTTTTATTGACAACGCATTACTGTAGAGGCGGAGCGTCGGTTCAGTCCTGAAAAATGACAATGTTATTTGAGAGCATATTACAGACTTCTCAGGCAACATATGTTAATGCAACTGGGCATGTGTGGCTTGTGGTGTGGCTTCAAAGCACTGCTGTGGCTGAACTAGCTCTCTGAAG